TCAAATCAAGGGGGAAAAAATCCAAAGTGAGGCAAAACGATTTTAGGGGATCATACTTCTTTGCCTGGACAGTACATTACTCACAAATTACAGACGGAGCCCCCACCTTCCTTTTATGGCATCTGCCCTAATTGAGGGTAGAATCAGCACTCACCTCTCATAGTAACCCCAACACAAAAGCAGGTCACTTTCTGAACAAAGCCTAGTTTCAGCGTTTCAGGTGTCAATCTATTGCTGTCATTTGGAATTTCAGCATTGTGCTCTGGCACTGGGCATATTCCTGCAAACACTGTCCCAAAAAACAGGGATGCGTGGGACTTCATCTCTCAAGAAGGCCAGTTTGTTGTTTCTGAGACCTCCCGCCCCGGCGTAATGAGTGCTTGTGGCCAACAGGGGGCCTCAAACCTCAGGGGGCCCATGCAAATGCTTGGTTTGCGTGATAGTAAACAGCAGTGCTGCTCTCTAGGTAAAAAGCTGTTCCTCCCTGTAATCCTCAGGTGTCACATTTCTTTAGCTATTAACTGTAGTGTAATACGTCTAAGTGTTGTCAAGAATGTTAAGGAACAGAAAATATGACTTTAGCTCCCTAAATGTGGCTATTCTCAGTGTAGCCTATATACATTAGCAAAGAAGTGGCTTTACTACTATGGAACAAAGAACACCATACTTCACTCTGTAGCTCTTTCAACAATCTCCCACGTCCCAGTCTCTTTTAGAAGATATGGGAAACATCTACCTAACCACCCAGGATAAAATTACTAACAAAAAACTGCCATTCGTATTAGGTGTAATACAGCAGATGTTTGAACTCCTGGTTCAGCTTCAGTTCAAACAATTTTAACTCCAGAACACTGTATTGTAACTGTACTATAACTGCACTGTACATTTCAGGTAGTTTGTCACGTGTCACTATTGTTGATATAAAATTAGATTTGATTTTATTTAATTTGTATTGAGATTACGCTCCTTGGTTTGGTACCTGCAGCACCAGACTAGAGGAGAGTTTGCCTTTGAAAATCTCACCGAAGGGGTTTATGCCCGAAATGGTGCCAAACAGCCTGAAACCTCATTTTTCACATATTAATGCTTCGTTTTAGAGGGATGCTTCGTATTTCTTTAGTGACAATACTGGTGTAAGTTTTTCAGGTAACAATTGCGCATCATGAAGCTAAAAATGAGAGCGTTGTTACAGTAAATCCCGGAATTCAGAGCGTAATCTGAAGCCAAAGTAAGCCCAAGTTCCTTAATTCAATTGTGTGCTCGGTTAAATCACATTTGTGTCATTCATTCAACACAAGATAGATTTAGTTACATGATTAGTTTCATTAAAGTAAAATAATTAGCAAGACAAGCGTCCTTACCCTCAGCCTCTGGATGTGGACGTCCTGCTTCTCGGTCATCCTCAGGAAAGCTTTAACATGGCGCTCATCCAGGAGGATGTAGACGGCCACCCCCCTGCTGGACGCGTCCACAACCTCTTTGAAAATATCCACGTCTGTGAAGATGTCCATCACGATGGCGATGATCTGCGAGGGGAACATGGGGCGCGTGAGAGCGCTGCCCTTTCAGCCGCCAGGGGGAACAGACCGTTCCTTCATAATTAGTCGTTATTAGTCATTATGCTCCCACTGCATACGTTTCACATTTGGTTTTTAATTGCGGACCAATTTAAACCGTCAAAACACAGAACTCACAAAATGTATTCAGAATAGATTAAAATTGCAGGTTATGTGATATTTTTCTAACTAAATAAAGATTGTCGGTTAAAAAAAAAAAAAGGTAAAGGTCACTTCTCAACAAGTCTCCATTTATTCGAAATTCAACTTTGTTCTGCAAAACAAGTCTATGCTGGGGGCAAATGAAATTGTACCTTTCCTCACTAAGTGCTCAGGCGGGGGGGGGGGGTTGCAATATAAATAGCCTACCCATTGAGGAACGGCAAGGAGACAGGGGGACCACGAACCTTAACCGCGCGGCGCCGCACAGGTAAACGATATGAGGCTCAAACCGAACAGGAGCCGAGCGAAAATCGCGAGGGGTAACGAATGTGCGCAGTGCGCGAGGGAGAACGACGTACTGTACCGCGCACAAGCTCATGTAGCTAAGCGGGGCAGTGAGCCCCGTGTGAGCGCGTGGCGTGTGGGACTCACGGCACGACCGTAGCGGCGTCTGGGGAACCGGAAAATCAACATGCTGCCTTCAAGTTGAAGCAGGTTACTCAGTTCACCCGGGTGATGTCAAGGCAGAATGAATTCTCCTCAGTTATGAGCATTCAGTTGGTGTTTAGGGTGTAATTGTGCAGAAAACGATTTGTAGCACGATACCATCATAAGGCTACAGAATGTGTATGATCTGCACTCAGTCCTCTTTTGGCTTTAAAATAATGTTAGACACATTTGGAATTTGGAAATTTTACACTGCATCAGAATACAAATGTTTAGTAAAAATGTCTAAAACAAACACAATAAAATTGTGTCCAAATGTCAGCATTGTTGTATTAGTTATTTATATCCAGTATAAATGGCGGCCAGGACAGTGTTATTTGAAAGTTTTTTTAATCCAGTTTTGCTCTGAGCAAGAACAAAGCAGTAAGTCATACGGCCATGATGCTCCGCTAACGCTGCCTCATACGTGTTACCCTGACAGCCAGCCAGGCCTCACACTCTGCTGCTTTAGCAAATATTTCCAGGCTATTGGACAATTGCCTGGGTTGTTTTCAGTTTGCTGTATAGGACAGTAGGGTGGATCATTCAGTAGGAGTGGTGTATTGGAGTATTGTAAGAGTTTGACCAGCTTTCAGGTGGAATGTCAGACTTGAGTGGATGAGCTGCTTGGTGTGATGGCAGCGTTAACGCGGTGTGGCCAGTGACCAGCGTTCCATCTCTGCTATTTCTGACGGCCCACTTACGTGTCTTGCTTCCTGGATATGTTTACGAACCGCTTCTTTGATGGTTGGGCAATTTGGACGGGGCGGGTGAAAGAGAAGATTGATGTTTGTTTGCATCTTCTCCCGAACGTCCGGCCAGCCAAGGTCGAGGTTTGGGGTGTCGAGATCAGAATGAAGGGGCCAGTAGGTACCGCTGGAGGGGGCGTTGTCCATTGAGGGGTCTGCCTCCTCCTCCTGATCGCCGGTGATTGGCCTCTCCACATTCTCCACGATGAACAGGAGCTCATCCTCGGAGAGGAACTCGCCAACGCGCTCTCCCTTGAGGAGCTCTCTGTATGCCTCTTGCCCCCCGCCTACCAAAGCGTCGATGGCCAGCCGATAGGTCTCCTTGTAATGTGGTCGAATGAAATCGTCTGGCTTTATCTCGCTCGTCAGGGACGACAGCTGTGACTCTATCATTTTTACAGCTGTGGGGGGCGACGGTCATCAGCATGGACCACCTGGGGGAAGAGCCACTAGTCATTGTCTAATACCAACACACAAAAACCTACTTATAAACCTTCGAGCTTGTACAAGGCAAACGGCAATGGTGACATTTAAAATGTAGATTTACCTGTTGTTGTGATCACTTCATTAATCATAACAGTTTAACACACTCACAAGGGACTTGAACATTATCACTCTAGTAGAAATAAACATGTTTTTTAAAAGTCAGTTTTTATGTACAAACAGTGGCGGGGCATGCAGGCCGTGCCGTCAACAATGCCTGGATTGTTTTGAAGGGAAATTCTTTGACGGTGATGAAGGTTCGGTGTTTTGACTATTTACTTTTTAAAGGACCAATTTCAGTGTGACTCACCCTGTCAAACCATATTGTACAGTTGTTTTTTAATTGGTTACCAAAACACTATTAGTACAGTACATTGGATGTGGTAAGAGGACATTGACTGCAAGAAGTCCAGCTTTTTGTACAGGAGTTTTGCGAGTCTCCCTTTGTCTTCTGTGTGTCGTGTTTTGGTCGTAAGGAATATCTGCTGGCATTATATAACTTATATATGTTAAATGTACCTATGAGCTTTTATATTTACAAAACCCGAATTTGTGAAAAATACACAGACATATATATATATATATATATATATATATATATATATATATGGTAACACTTACTTGAAGCAGTCTACATAAGGGTGACGTGTAACCGTCATAAGAATGACATAAGAATGACATGACACATGTCATGCACATTAATGGCACATCAAAAACAGTTGCAAAAACTGAATTACATATTATTACAACATCAACAAACATGTGTCATGTCATTCTTATGACAGTTACATGTCACCCTTATGTAGACTGCTTCAAGTAAAGTGTTGCCATATATATATATATGGTCTGGTTGCTGAATTATTTACTCAAGGGTATGCAAAGGTACGATCTGTTGACACATCATCTAACTGAATAGTAATAAAATGTTCGTATTGACATGGTTAAGTCTGGCTTGTTCAAATTACTCTTGTCAGAAGTAGAAACATACAGAAATTGAGCAACTTAGCTGCAAGTCTGTGAGTAATTTTACTGCAGAAAGTAGATGAGGAAGCTGAATTTTGATTCTGTTTATTCATTGTTACTCAGAAGCACTTTGGATGAAGGACACAGCCACACAAAAGTGTCCCCATCACTGCCACATAGCAGTCTCTCCTCATCTTTGCTGTTTTTCTTCATTTGAATTGACAATTTTGTCACACATCCTCAGGTCTGAGTATTTAAAGTATCTGGACCAGCACAGAAAACAGCTATTTCCCAAAGACTCCCGCATCCCAAGCAAAATGTCCTGGGCTTGGATCGAGGGCGGTGGGGGGGTAGTACATGAACTCCACCACAGCACAGTGCTGGGATATTACACCACATTATTTCAGTGGACAAACTACTCTGTCTCTGTAGTCGCTCGGGTCGAGAGGAATTACACTCTACAGACTACTCTAAAAAGATAAAATTTGACTTACTCATGACTTTGTTTTTAAAGTTTCTTGCACGTCTTCTTCAGGTGCCCTCCCATTATGTCCGCACCTTTGCTTTGCTTTGTGGAGTTTGCAAAGAGCCCCGCTGCTCCTCCAACTGCGGAGGCTGCCACCAAACTGCCGGCTGGGGAAGCGAGCGAGAGCTCGGAGTCAGCGAGGCAGGCAGCTGGGAATCCAGGCGAGGGCGTGGGGGCCAGTTTTCACATGCAGGTACCTGCCGTCTTGTGTCTGGTCGCTGGCCAGGGCCGATAGTAAACCTGTTTGACTTGTGTGGCCCCACCTCCTGTGTGAGAGTACTGAGTACCTGCCTCACCACGCTCCCCCCTCCCCCCCCAGCGCTGTTTCTCGTCAGTGGAGTCTGCAGCCACCTCCTGATCTGTCTGGTCGGCCAGGGAGGACACCATTCCGTCACAGATTGCACAATCCACCCCACCGGGCACGCCGCCGGCCCTGCTCACCTGTCTATCCAGCTTGAAGATTGTTTTACTCTTCTTTTTTTTTTTTTGCAATAAAATTCCCTCACTAATAAGCTGGTACTTAAGATAATTATGAATTTTTAAAGTTAAGTGTTATTTTTTTAAAATTTCATGTACTGACTGCGCTCACCATGAACAGCAGCAACAGCACAGGAGATAGTTTGATGTTGGTAGCATGAAGCCAAATTATATATGGGGGTTACACAGCCCCCCCTTCCTGCCCCCCTTAAGAGTAGAGTGTAGTATGAAAACCGAAAGCAGCTTTTGAATGTTGATGATTTCAGTTCTTTCCAAAATGCTGCGTTTTGTAGCTGCTTCCACATGTTTTTCAGTGAAGGGTCACTGGACGCCAGTCCCAGATCTGTTATGATTTTTCTTTGTCCACACGTCGCTTGGAGGGAATCGTCCTCTCCTGCTCTGACCTGCGTCTTCTGGTCCTCAGAGAAAGCCGACATAAACCGGCTGTGCGATTAGATCTCTAGTCTGCACATTTTCAGTGTGTATTGATGTTGCTACATTGAGGAAAATCCAGAATGTTATACTTGAAATGATTGCATGTGAAAGTGTGTCAAGGAACAATCACATAGAGTCGTAGGAATTTGTGGAAAAGGGGGTGTCATCTTATAATGTCAGAGGACAGGTCAAATGACTGATTTATTACTCCTGTGAAAGATGGCGATTCCTGAGAAGAGCAGGACCTGCAGAGGCAGCAACATCTCAGCAACTGGGCTTGTTTTGCATTTATATTTGAACAGAGAAAATGTGCTGTGTGAGAGCCAAGCTTCCTGCTTTCTGTCTGTGACTGTAACCCCCCCAGTCACTACACACACACGGTGGGAAGTGCCAGCCCCCCGAAATCACACCGGGAGCAGCGGAGGGCACCATCAACACCAGAGCAGCAGTGTTTACCACCCAAACCATGCATTTACAGCACCTGTATGTCCGTGTGCAACGCAGTGTATGGACACCCCAGCACATTAATGGGGCCCAGCACTTCACGGGCAGTGGTGGAGTCGTAAACATATTTTGAGGATGATGGTGAGGGTGCAGGGGGGTCAGAGTAGTGTGTGAGCATCTGATGGATGTGCGTGGTTCCAGTTTCCTGTGCAGTTAACCCTCTATGAGGTTCTTTCTCCCCGTGGAGCTTGCAGTTGGGTTTCACTGCAGAATGGGCACAAGGTTCTGGGCTGGGCTGGTGTCCCTGCCCGCCCACCCCTGCCAGATTGTTTCACACACTGTGCTTGCCCTGCCCTTTCTGCTGTCATAATTACAGAAATCTCTGTCACCCCTAAGCTTTCTGGACACTTTTTCTTCATTATTTGACCCAGTTGTGTGAGGAGTCCGGACGGCTCTCCCTGCTGAAGGCTCCCCGCTGAGCAGGGGCAACAGGGCTGTTACCACAGGTGGGGGGGGGGGGGATATTAATGACATCTGGGAATTCTATGTGACAAGTAGGGGCTGGAAACCTCAGCAGTGTAAGAAACAGAAAGGGGAGGGCAAGGTGACTGACTGCGTATCTGCACAACACTGTGGCTTACTGCCAATCATTGCAGGCTTACTGCCGATCATCGCAGGCTTACTGCCGATCATCGCAGGCTTACTGCCGATCATCGCAGGCTTACATATCTATTATTTATTATAGTTTAGCAGTCACTATATCTAAAGTCATGTAAAGCTGAAAACTGGGTCAGTCAATCCCTCAGCGATTTGAGTTAAGGCCTCGCTCAGGGTCTCCACTTTGAAATCACTCTGCTGAACACTGTATTTGAACCTATGACCTTCCAATACAGTGTTCTAACCTGCAGAGCGATGACCGTATTAGGGCTGGGCGATATGTAAAAAAAAAATTATCAATTATCGCCTTTAAAAATATCGTGATATTTGATAATATCGTCTGCCCCGCCCTGTTCTGCCCTGAAACCTCCCACAAGCGACGCGGATCGGGCAGCGACTGAGCTTACGGCCTATCTTTTGGAGGATGTAATTGATGGAGAAGAGAATCCACTTGCGTGGTGGAAGAATAACGAACGTCGCTTTCCCCTCATGTCTTGTGCAGTCCGAAAATTCTTGTGTGTGCCTGCAACAAGTAGCCCGTCGGGGAGGGTTTTCAGCACAGCAGGTGAAATTGTCACTTCATTTCGTAACGCTTTAACCTTGTCA